TATGAATTTAGTGTGGCGTAAGCGTACAGGGTTTATTTGTGTTTTAGTTTTTAATTAAAAGTTTAAAAAGTGAAAAACAAAATTAAAAAACAGAAAAAAACTTATAGAATGAATATTTTTGTACAGCTGTGCAATGTGTTTGTGTTTCAAGCCAACTGTTACTACAAAAGAGTCAAAAAGTTATTACAAAACTTTAAAGTTTACAAACTAAAAAAGCTACAGGAAGCTAAGGTCAATTTATTACTGAAGAAACAAAAATATGTTTTATGAATTTAGTGTGGCGTAAGTGTACAGGGTTTACAAAATCTGCAGTAGTGCACAGTAATGTCCTGGGCCTTCACATTCACTCACCACCCACTCACTCACCCAGAGCAACTTCCAGTCCTGCATGCTCCATGCATACCCTATACAGGTGTACTATTTTTTTAATCTTTTACACTGCATTTTTATTTTTCCTTTTTTATGTTTAGATAAACAAATACTTACCATTGCATTACAAATGCCGAAGTATTCAGTATAGTAAGGTGCTGTACAGGTTTGCAGTCTAGGAGCCATAGGCTAGACCCCATAGCCTAGGTGTGTCGTAGGCCATACCATCTACATTTGGGTAAGTACATTCTATGATGTTTGCACAATGACAAAATCAGTTAACGACACATTTCTCAGAATGTATGCCCATCCCTAAGCAATGCATGACTGTAGTCTGTATTTTCTAAAGAAGGAAAGCCCTGGAATATCTAGAATAAAAGGGTGAGAAAAGGCCACATAAGAAGTTCCTAAGAAAGTGTCCCAGAGCCTCAAAGGGGAGGCATCACAGACCAGCCTCCAACTTGGGAGTGAGGAAAGATCAAGTTGAAAGGGACCATCTCTGAGGTGACCCCATTTTCCAAGGATCGTTTCTGTTCTAAAATTAAACAGTGTCAGTATACAGTAATTTTGTATTCTTATGGAATGAGATTCACAAGAAATAACTGATAGTTTAGAAGTTCAAATTTTTTATGTGCTCCAATTTCTTAATAATTGCATGTTTATTTATTTAGTTATTCTTATTTTTAAGTGTTAGCTAGAATGATACTAGCTGCTGTAACAAACAGGCCCAAAATGGCTAGTGGCTCAAACACAATAAAAGTTTACTTCTCACTCAACACAGAATCCAAATTGGGTGTTTTCACCTGATGGCCACAAGTGATGATGTGGGGACCCTGGCTCCTCCCATCCGGGCTCTGCCTGCAGCAGCCTAGTGCACTGCGAAGGGCCCAGGTGTGCACCTGGAAGTGGTACCTGTCAAAGCCTGGAACTGCATCATAGGCCACACCCACCCACAAGGGAAACGCAGTCCATTGCTGTATCCCCAAGAAGAGGAACTGGGTTTGGTAAAGAGCAGTCAGTCCTTGTCCCCAGCTTGGAGTTAGGGGAAAGGGGAGGAAACAAGTTAAGCGAAGGAGCCAGAAAGGGGGTCTGATCGCAAAGTTTGCACAACCCCTTCCCTTCTACCAGGTATTTGATCCTGGCAGTCCCCCTGCAAAGCTGCTGTTATTATTGTCCCAATTTTATGCTCTAAAAAAACCAGGATGAGAGAGTCTAGCCTAAGGCCAGAGTTCAAAATCCAGTTCTCTGGCCAGCAGACCACGCTGCTCCGACAGATCTGTCTATGCAAAAGCCAAGCCAAGGCACCCCCAACCCCCTTAGGGCTACCCGACAGCTCTCACATCATCAAACAGGACTAAAACCTGCACATGCTGCAGGGTGGTTCCAGAGAGCTCCAAATCAACCCGTACAAAATCTCCCACATCTCATTCTTGTCTTGGTTTGTTTTCCCAGAGACCACGCCTCACTCTGCCAGCCAAAGCCAGATCCCGAACGAGAAGGCACAGGGCTCCGGGACCGTGCTGCCTGCCTCCCGGCACCTCCCTGTATCTCAGCCCCCTGGAGTCAGGCCAGGTTCTGGCCACCCGCCATCTCAGGCTCGTCCTTGCAGGTCGGCCTCTGGAAAGAAGGCTCAGAGACCTCCCTGATGACAGCTGGGGCTCACAGGAGCCCTGGTCCTGGAGCTGATCCTCGTGCCCCCATTTCACACATATCCAAAGTGGTGTTCTCTCTTCCGCCCTCCTCTCGTATGCATGCACTTTCTGTCCCCTGTCCTTTAATGTGGGGACTTCGATCGCTTAGCTTCGTGCCCTTGTCACCTACCAAAGGAAGAAGACAACGGCTTGACCTGCCCTTTAGGGGAGCTGTCCTGACTGCCCTTCCCAGTATCTTGGTCCAGGCAGCTCTGAACCCCACACTCACAGTGGCTCCCCTTGGCTCCAGACGTTGGGAGAAGACAGGGCTGTAACCACGCTGGCAGACCATTTCCATGGAGCGCATGTTGGGACACAGGTTTCTGCCAGCTCCATTAGCAACCTACATTTCCAACATTACCTCTATACAAAGGAGGTGAGGCTTTTTAAGTAAAAGAGCCAAGAAGTGAATGAAAATAAAGGTAAATGAACCAACGTCCAATCATGGAAGGTGGGAAGACTGGTGATACCCCACACCCAGCCTGAGGGAGCTGATGCCATTAAGCACAAATAAATGCACTGGGGCCTCCTAGCAGCCAGGCAAACCAGCAAGTGAGCAGCGCAGTTCTTTTTTCTTTCTTTCTTTCTTTTATTTATTTATTTTTTTACAACATTCCATTGTCAATAATCAAGCCAGTTCTTATCTAATTCAAGAAAACTTAAAGATTGCTCAGGGCAGAAACCTTTTTTTTTTTTTTAAGACAAGGTCTCGCTCTGTCACCTGGGGTTGGAGTGCAGTGGCATCAGCACAGCTCACAGCAACCTCAAACTCTGGGGCTCAAGCGATCCTCCTTCCTCAGCCTCTCAAGTAGCTGGGACTACAGTCGTGCGCCACCATGCCCAGCTAATTTTTCTATTTTTTGTAGAGATGGGGGCTCACTCTTGCTCAGGCTGGTCTCAAACTCCTGGCCTCAATCAAACCTCCTGCCTCGGCCTCCCAGAGTGCTAGGATTACAGGTGTGAGCCACTGCACCCAGTGAAAAAACTCTCATGCACCAAATTCTAGAAGGCATTTGGGACCTTGAAGATGGTTTTTTGCAAAAGGTACAATACAGAGGCTTGTCCCTGGTAATTCTTTTTTTTTTTTTTTTTTTGAGACAGAGTCTCACTCTGTTGCCTGGGCTAGAGTGCCGTGGCGTCAGCCTAGCTCACAGCAACCTCAGACTCCTGGGCTCAAGCAATCCTTCTGCCTCAGCCTCCCGAGTAGCTGGGACTACAGGCATGTGCCACCATGCCCGGCTAATTTTTTCTATATATTTTTAGTTGTCTGATTAATTTCTTTCTATTTTTAGTAGAGACGGGGTCTCGCTCTTGCTCAGGCTGGTCTCAAGCTCCTCAGCTCAAGTGATCCTACCGCCTCGGCCTCTAAGAGTGCTTGGATTACAGGAGTGAGCCACCGCGCCCGGCCCTTTCCAATTTTTTTTTTTTTTTAGAGACAGGGTCTCGCTCTTGCTTAGGCTGGTCTCAAACTCCTGGCCTCAAGCGATCCTCCCGCCTCTGCTTCCCAAAGAGCTAGGATTACAGCGTGAGCCACCTCGGCCGACCCTCTATGAGATACACTCTTTATTTCCTATTCTCTTTAACCCTATTTTTTTTTTAATGCTGTCTGTGAATGACTGAATTCTGCAACCCATTAAAGGATTCTGATTTCTCACTTAAAAATCCCTACCTTAGTGTTGGGTCCTCAACCCCCAGGGCTGCACCCGGGTAGACCACCTGAGCTCTGCACCCCATCCCCACCCCCGTTCTGTGGAAAAATTTCTTCCATGAAACCGGCCCCTTGTGCCAAAAAGGTTGGGGACCTCTGCAGTGGATAAGTACCTGTAACCCAAGGAAGACTTAGAATAAAGTATAGAAATCATGAAGTAAACAGATGTCATTGCATTCGTATTTTCCATTACATTTTGGAATCATGTTTAATTTGGTATGTGAAGTATTTATCATGTTTAAGAGAATTTGATATACTAATATATAATAATTAATCTTGCAATCCATTTTAAAATGTGAAATGAGTGAATCATGTGATTCACTCATGATTGTAAGTCCATATGTGTAGCAGAAATTAATCACATCTGTAAGCAACATTGAGATTATGAGATTTATCAACCATATTTTTAAGTTTAATATACTGGATTTGTAATAGCGAACTATGTACTTGGATTTTATTGGTCAAGTAACTGAGTCGCTTGAGAAGAAAATATTAAATTTATAAATGCGGTGTATAGTTGTAAGAATTTAAGTTATAAGAATCCACTTAGAACTATTTTCTTCATTTACCAGGGCATACATTACTTAAGAATAAATAGGTTTTGGATTTGTAACTCTATTATTAATCATTAAAGCAAAACTAATCCCGAAATAGTCGCCCGAGTGCCCAAAAGCCAACCTCGAGCACAGGGAAGCAGCTCCCATTCACTCGGAGATAAGAACTCAGGGCCGGTCAAACCAGTGAGCAACACGTGGCCCAGCAAAACGAGCTGGGTCCCCCTGAAACAGAGGAACAAGAAACCGGCTTAGGCAGACGTGGGATCGTCTCTCTTTCCCACGTTAGTGCCTGCCACCGTCACTTTTTAATATTAATTAATAAATTCAACAGCACCCAGACGACCGCGAGGAGCCATGTTTCCGGGAGTCTGCGCCAGAGCGCCCTGGGGATCGCTCCTGTCCCGGAAAGAAGGAAAGGGCGCGCGGCCCACGGGGCTCTGGGGAGAACCATCCCGGAGTGGGAGGCGAGAATGGAAGGGTCCTGGGGGCGTGGGGCGCTGGGAGGGGTCTGGGGCCCGAGGTCACCGGCGCTGCGGAACGCCGGCTCGGCAAGGGTCTGGGATGGTCGCCGCGCCCCACACAAGAGCCTCCCGCGCCGATTCGCGGAGCTCTGCTGCCCGCAACCTATATGACGAAAACATGAGCGATCGGACTATTATCCGGAAAAGGGCCTTTCCATACGTCTTGCGGCCTGCAAGGCCCGACTCGGTCCCGCGCGTCCCAGGCAACCGCCCGCGCAGCTGCAGAGGCCGGAAAAGACCCGCTTGCCCGCGCTCCGCACCACCCCCGCTCGCCCTCCGGGCGCTACCACCCCGCCGGCCCTCCGAAGGCCCGGAAATGGTGCCGTCTCCGGCCTCTGATTGGTCGGCGAGGCTGGGGCGTGGCCTCCGGAGCCTGGGTCCGCGCGCCAGAGCTCGCCAGCCGCATTGCGAGCCGAGCAAGGAGTGGGCGCCATGGTGAGGAGTGGTGGCGGGTCGCGGGCGAAGCGGAGGCGGTGGTGTGGGCCCGGGTTCGGGCCCAGGCCCGAACCTGCGCCGGGAGCGGGGCTGGGCGCACACTGAGGCCGCGTTGACGCTTGCTCCCCGGCTCCCATTCCAGGTCCTGTTGCACGTGCTGTTCGAGCACGCGGTCGGCTACGCGCTGCTGGCGCTGAAGGAAGTGGAGGAGATCAGTCTGCTGCTGCCGCAGGTGGGTGCGATCAGTGGGCTCGCCCGGCTCCGCAGACCCTCGGGCCGCGCAGGTCCCAGCATGCCCCGCGCGCTCCCACGTGGCCAGCCGCTCTTGGGAGGAGGAGCTGGGCCTGGAAAGGTCTAGAGCGGGGTGGGGGTGGGGGGGTCTTCACCTTGAATCATGGTTAGAATCACTTTAGGAGCAATTAGAAATGAGGCTCCGGGACTCCGGCCCGTATCGATTGAAGGAGAACCCGGATGTGGGGCCTAGGCATCGGTACATTTTAAAAGCGTCCAGGGCTGAGAACCGCTGCTTTACTGCGCCGCAGAGGCAAGAGTAAAGAAACCACTCATCCTCTTTCTACCCCCACCCGCAGGTGGAGGAGTGCGTGCTCAACCTGGGCAAATTCCACAACATCGTTCGTCTAGTGGCCTTTTGTCCCTTTGCCTCATCCCAGGTTGCCTTGGAAAATGCCAATGCAGTGTCTGAAGGTGAGTCAGCCACCGTCAGGTATTTCAGAGAGAGAAGCTACATGCAGTTCCTTACGCTATCTTCTTGGGGGGTTTATGATAGCGTTTTCTTTTTTCCGTTAGTTGTAAGTCTGGTAGGTGCCTGGGCAGTATTGGAGATGAACAGGATGTAATTTAACATAATTATCTTACCTGAGCTCAAGATCTGGGAACCGTGGTAGACTGAATCTTCCACATTTAAAGCACAGGATCCAGGATGTAGATACTATTTCCCTTGGGGAACTATAGTGACAAATGATTCTTCAATGAAATGGAGGGGGCTGGATTAACACCCACCTGTGCCTGTGCTCCCGTTCCCGAAACACAATCAAATGTCTGCTTCTGTGCTGTACCTTTCAGTTGATAGGAAAGGCAATTTTGATAAACACAAGCCAAGAAGAAGGTTTGTTCCCAGAAGGCAATTTGAGTACTAAATACTTCAGAGTGTGTCATAAGCTTTCAATTATGTATTTCATACCTGCGCTGTTGGAGCTGGGTGCAGTTCCTCCCTTGGTTGGGCCAGGCTTTGCAGTGATGACTTTCATATCTGTCAATCCCCTGAGTGCAGTCACTGATGTCTCTGTGTCTCTGAGCAATGCCTGGAGGGGGGAGGGGTCTAGCATGCTCCACAGGACCAGCCGAGGGGATGAGATCCTTTTGCATCTTTCAGCATGTTAGTGGGAGCTATGTTCTCTGTGCCCTGAGGTGTTGTTCATGAGGACCTCCGTCTGTTCTTGGAGACCCACCTGCCGTCCAAAAAGAAGAAAGTACTCTTGGGGGTCGGGGATCCCAAGATCGGTGCTGCAATACAAGAGGAATTAGGGTACAACTGCCAGACCGGAGGCGTGATAGCCGAGGTCCTACGAGGTGAGACCATCATATGTCATGCTCCTGCCATTCCTTACGTCTTCAAGGGGAGTTCCGGAAACTTGCTCGGGTGCTTCTGGGGAGGCCTCGTGTTTGGCTGGTGCCCATGAGTGCAAGAGCTAGCTCAGAGCCCTTCCTTGCTTACAGTCCTGCCCTCCTCTTAGGAGTTCGTCTGCACTTCCATAATCTGGTGAAGGGTCTGACCGATCTGTCCGCTTGCAAAGCCCAACTGGGGCTGGGACACAGCTATTCTCGTGCCAAAGTTAAGTTTAATGTGAATCGGGTGGACAATATGATCATCCAATCCATTAGTCTCCTGGACCAGCTGGATAAAGACATCAATACCTTCTCTATGCGTGTCAGGTAAAGTGCAGGGGCCATCCCTAACAATGGAGTCTTTGCCCTGTAGTTTAGCTAATTCAGAGTCTTGAGCAGGGCTGACAATTCTCGTGGGTAGAACCATGTGGGCTGGATCTGGAGCTCGGCCTCCCAGTGCTTACCACAGGCTGTGTTCTTACACTGCCTGTATAGAAAGAGGAGGCAGAGTAAAGCTACCCCATGTACACCCCAGCCCCGGCCCTGTGCCTGGTCTGTATTGTGAATGGGGGAACATGGAGTTGAGGGGGATTCGAATCTAAGGTGTTCCCATCTCCTCCAGGCAGGCAGTAGGTGTGGAGAGGGCTGAGGCTGTGGCTTTGTTATTTGAGGTGAGGCAGCTGGGCCGAGAGTGACTGTGGCTCTTTGCAGGGAGTGGTACGGGTATCACTTTCCGGAGCTGGTGAAGATCATCAACGACAATGCCACGTATTGCCGCCTCGCCCAGTTTATCGGAAACCGAAGGGAGCTGAATGAGGAAAAGTTGGAGAAGTTGGAGGAGCTGACGATGGATGGGGCCAAGGCTAAGGCTATTCTAGATGCCTCACGGTCCTCTATGGGTCAGTACGGAATCTGGCAGGCAGCATAAGGTACAGGGCCCTAAGTAGCTGGCTGTTGGATTCACACTTGGTATTTCCTAGGTATGGATATATCTGCCATTGACTTGATAAACATCGAGAGCTTCTCCAGTCGTGTGGTGTCTTTGTCAGAGTACCGCCAGAGCCTACACACTTACCTGCGCTCCAAGATGAGCCAAGTAGCCCCCAGCCTATCAGCCCTAATTGGGGAAGCGGTGCGTTGTGGGGGACACTAAGATAGGGGCATGGGAGTGTTACCGTGTGCATCTGCACTGCTGTATTTCCTGGCCCACTGTATCTTCCCCAGTTGTGCTTGATTGGGAGGAGGAGAGGCGGGGTCATGCAACTGGCAGATCAGCAGTTACAGCTTCTCTGACTCCTTCCTTGACTCTTTTCTCCAGGTAGGTGCACGTCTCATCGCTCATGCTGGCAGCCTCACCAACCTGGCCAAGTATCCAGCATCCACTGTGCAGATCCTTGGGGCTGAAAAGGCCCTGTTCAGGTACCAGTGCGGGCACCTGCCCACACTCAGGTGCCACTTCTGGTGCCCACTGCTTTTTTGGGGATCACAGTGATGGCCAGCCAGGGCTCCCTGACCCATACAGGCATCTGCTATGGGGGTGATGGCCAGTCCTGGTATCTGAGTGATTCCCAGGGCCCAGCAAAGGGACCAAGTTTCCAGGTCAGCGACATTGGATGCCTTCCCTCTGCCTCTGGGAGCTGTGGGTTGGCATGCACTGGGGAAGCAATCCAGCCTGTCCTGAGGCTCTGGGGACTGGGCCAGGGGGGTGGGGCGAATTACCTTGGCTAATGGGGTTGAAATTTCTCATCTTAAACTCTCCACTGAATGTTCTCTCAGAGCCCTGAAGACAAGGGGTAACACACCAAAATACGGACTCATTTTCCACTCCACCTTCATTGGCCGAGCAGCCGCCAAGAACAAAGGCCGCATCTCCCGATACCTGGCAAACAAATGCAGTATTGCCTCACGAATCGATTGCTTCTCTGGTATGGGTGGGGGGGTTGGCACTTGTGAGGAGAGGGGGTTGGGGTGGGGGACTGACGACCTTAGCAGCTTCTACGATGATGGTAGTATTTTTCGTCAACAGCAGTTCACCTAGTGAGTGTTGATACTTTCGGTCTGAGTGAAGCTGAGGGTAGAAGGAACACCAGGTGGGGCGGGGGGCTGTTTGTCCATTCGGGGGCTGACCAGCTTCGTTTACCCACGTACACACATCCAGAGGTTCCCACAAGTGTATTTGGGGAGAAGCTTCGAGAACAAGTTGAGGAACGGTTGTCCTTCTATGAGACTGGAGAGATTCCGCGGAAGAACCTGGACGTCATGAAGGAAGCCATGGTTCAGGTCAGTGGTCGGGGGGGAGGGGGGGTCTCTGGGTAGGGGGAGAGCTGCACAGCTGACCGTTGGAGGTGATGAACTGTCTCAGCCTGACCTTGTAGAGTGGAGGCAAAAAAACTGATTTAATGAGCCTGATCCAATAAAACCAGAAAGGAGGCTTTCAAACTCCAGAGGTTTTCAAGCCTTTTCAGCACTTTTCTTTGACCAGGCAGAGGAGGCGGCTGCTGAGATTGCTAGGAAACTGGAGAAACAGGAGAAGAAACGCTTGAAGAAGGAAAAGAAACGACTGGCTGCGCTTGCCCTCGCTTCTTCAGAAAACAGCAGTAGTACTCAGGAGGAGTGTGAGGTCAGTAGGCAGATGAGGTCCTAGGTGGTAGGATTTTCAACAGCAGAACAAAGGATGTGCTTCGTCAAGTCGTGGTCTTGAGTCCAGGCTTTTGGACTGCAACAAGGACCTGAAACATCTCAAACTACCTCTTGATTCTATAGGAAGGAGATAGGTGCTGAGAGAACTTGCTCAAGAGCCCAGAGAGCTGGTTGTAGCACACACCCGTTCCCTGGGCAAGTGTGTTCTGTCCTCGGCTGCCTCCCAGGAGTCCTCAACCTGGGGTAGTGTAAATTCCTGCTCTGCTTCTTCTCAGACGTGTGTCCGGAAGTGGTAGTGTCTCTCAGTGGGGATGGGGGCAGGGAGGTTGCCAGTGTGCAAGGCTAGACTCATTCATTCTCCCTGGGGTTTTCATTTAGTCCCCACTTTGTTAAACGGTGTTTCAGGGTCCCCTCTGGAACTTGGCATGATGGTTCTATTGTGACCAGCATGGTGGGTTTTTCTCTAGGTTATTTAATGGGCTGAGGTACTATCATTACACGTTCTCCCTTAACTTCTAATTGGGAGTAGCCTTTGGGGTGGATTTCCAGAGTTACACCCACACAATTAAAGAACCTTCCCAGAAACACTGCGCAATTTTAACAGAACTTTGCCAGTTTTCCTGCCCTGGCTCTACTGCTAAAAATGTAATGGGGGTGTGTGTGTGCGTGCAGACGATAGTTGACACCGTTCTCATGCCTATCTCCCCCTCTTCCCTTTAGGAGACGGTTGAAAAACCCAAAAAGAAGAAAAAGCAAAAGCCCCGGGAGGTTCCTCAGGAGAATGGAATGGAAGACCACCCATCTATCTCTGTCTCCAAACCCAAGAAAAAGAAATCTTTTTCCAAGGAAGAGTTGGTTAGTAGTGATCTTGAGGAGGAGGCCACTGTCAGCGTAAGTCTTCCCAAGAAGAAGAAATCTTCACCAAAGGAGGAAGCAGTAGTCAGTGATCCCGAAGAGACAGGCAACAAGAGTGTCTCTAAGAAGAAAAGGAAATTCTCTTCCAAGGAGGAGACAGTCAGCAGCGGGCCTGAAGAGGCTGCTGGCAGCAAGAGCAGCTCCAAGAAGAAGAAAAAGTTCCACAAAGCACCCCAGGAAGATTAGAATGGACATTCCCTGTGAGGAGGGGTATGCCATACCCCACGGTGACATTTCCCACTCCATGTCTCATACTCCAATAAAAACAAAATTCACCAAAAAGTTGTTTCACATGTTTTATTAAACATCTTAAATAGATATGGGCAGGACCTATGGGTGGGGCAGGGCAGCAATGACAGCCTCAGTGAAGTCGTGGCAAGTGGCATAGCCACCCATGTCAGAGGTTCGAACCTGTGGGGGAGAACTGTCATCATCCCTGCAGCCTAGGCCCCCACCGCTGACACTCCCACCACCACCACCACCCAACAGATGCAGTTCCCTAAGGAAGGCGGCCCTAGGACAACCTAGGCTCTGCTCAGAAAGATGGCTATGGTCCACTGTCTAGAAGTTCGAGATCTCTCCCCTGGTCCACTGTACTGAAGGAATGTATAGGTAGTATGTAGTCCTTGTGAGGTTGGAAGGAATAAAGGGCTCTAGCTCCCATGAGGGTGCAGGTGGCCGATGACAGACTTGATGAAGTCGGTTGTGGTGCTGTAGCCGCCCATGTCTCGAGTCCGCACCTACAGCCACCACCGGCAAGAGCCGTGGGGAAGAAGAGAAGAGAGCCCATGAAGGCAGGTAGGGCAGTGTGATCAAGAAATGGAATACAAGAAGGGATGACAGAAGACGGCCAGAAAGATGCAGTGCAGCAGGGATGGGAGAGGCCAGGTTCGGGAGCACATGGACCTGCCCACTCCTGAGCCACCATTAGCTAGCTGGGCAGCCACGGTAGGGCAGGAGGCTGAGCAGGAAGTGAGATGATGGGAAAATGCAGACGAGAGACAAGGAGGCAGCTACCTGAGAGGATATACAGAGACAGAACAGGTGGGAGGAAAGAGGAAGATGAGGACTGGCTCCCAGGTGTGGAGAAGGTGAAGCTGGCGCCTCCTGCCTAGCTCCCTCGTTGCTCCATCCCTAGAGAGAGCTGCAAATTCTGCATTCAGATGGCCCACAAAAGGAGCAGAGAATGGAGCAGGAAAGGGAATAGCATATGGTACCTCAGGCAAAGGAGATCAAGAGATGAAACAGCCAAGAGAAGGGAGGTAAAGAACAGCCCTGAGAGGAACTGGGGAAGATCAGAGAGCAAAGATGTTCTGGGGACCTGAGGGGAAGCAGGCCTCCAGCCAGGTTCCCCAGAGAATAGTGCTGAGGCCCTGCAGCTGGCAGCCTTTCTGAACTCACCTTGCCGACTTTGATCACCTTCTTCACCGCTTCTGCAATCATACTGGAGTGATACTCAAGGCTGTCAATGTGGAGAGGAAGAAATTGAGACACCGCCCCCCCCAAAACACCATCCCATGGCTCGCTGACAACACCCAGCCTCCCATGACCTACTTGAGATGTCGCAGCATGTTGGAAGCTGACAGCAGCATGGCCGTGGGGTTGGCTATATTCCTGCCCACTGCCTGGGCAAATGGGTGCCGGGCACCCTGTGGAGAGAGGGGCAGGCCAGAGTCACTGGGAGGAGGCAGGAGGTACAGCAGAGGATGAGATTGGGAAAGGACTCCACGGGAGGCGGGGAGCAGGCCAGGGTCACTTAGCAAGAGGAGGCATTGGGATTGGGGGTGGGACTCATGGGAGACCTGAGGTCCGAGGACTGGCACAGGCAAGGAGAAAGGGCAGAGGGAGGAAGCGGCCTCACTCACCATCTCAAAGACTGCGTACTCTGCACTGTAGCTCTCACCCGGGACCACACCAGCTCCCCCAACCAGGCCAGCAGCCAGATTGTCAATAATGTTCCCATAGAGATTGGGCATCACGAGCACATCAAACTGGTAAGGATTCTGCACCAGCTAGGGGGCAAGATGTAAGTGTGAAGAAGTGAATTCCACTCCCCACCCTCCTCAGTGCCGTGAGAGGGAGGTATGGGGAGGGCCTCACCTGCATGCAGCAGTTGTCTATGATCATTGTCTCAAATTTGATTCTGGGATACAGTTCAGCAACTTCCTCACAGCACTGCAGGAACAACCCATCCCCAAGTTTCCTGTCCATGGACCAAAAGGAACAGAGTCAGCCAGGGGAGTACAGGAAGCTACCTTCCCAGGAACCCATTCTATGCAAAGCCATGGCCCTCACATGATATTAGCCTTGTGGACAGCAGTGACCTTGTTCCGCCCCTTCTTGGTGGCATAGTCAAAGGCAAACTTTGCAATCCGCTGAGACTTGGCTCGTGTGACAATCTTCAAGCACTCAATCACGCCCCTTGCACTCTGGGTAAGAATAGAGAAGCAACTGGGTGACCTAGGGAAGGAGCTCCACCTCTCTCCCACCTCCATTCCTGCCCTCCCCAGTTTCTCAGGCCTCACCTCATGTTCCAGAGAGCTGTATTCCCCTTCTGTCTGCTCTCGAATGATCACCAGGTCTAGATTGTTGTGCCGAGTCATGTACCCAGGAAGTGACTTCACATGGACCACGTTGGCAAATAAATCCAACTTACGCCTAAAGGTGGGCAGAGCCATCAGCTCTGCGCCTGGTGCCCAAGTGCCCCTCTGACCCATTCCCCTCACCCCTACCACCTACCTCAGCCGCATGTCATAGGAGGCTAGTTCCCCCTTATACTCCATCGGGGTGTGGATCTTTCCTGTGTAAACACAGTAGGGGGAGCAGAGTCAGGCACAGGTTGCCCTTAAGGGAGCCCAGACCAGTGTCCAATCCCCTTGGGGACATAATGCAACCCAGACTCCCATCTCCCACTCCTAAATCACTAACATTTAATTGCCTCTGGTGGAAAGGGACAAAGGAGAATAATGTATAAGGTCAGAAACATTTTTGTCTATTGCATTATTTTTAGTCATCATATTTAATTTATGTTGAAACTTCAAAATGATCTAAAAGGATAGATTTTTTCATGTTTATCTAAGAATAGCCTGGGTTTTAGTATTCCATGGTGTGTGTATTTAAAAAAAAAAGAAGAGCCTGGGTTTAATAACAAGTTGAGAAACAATGCCAGCAGATCTCTGACCTTTTTTTTGATGTTTCTGTGTTTATTTGACATTTTTTCAACAACCACTTATTGAAAATCAACTATGTCAGGCAATAGGGATATCAACCAAAAACCATACAACTCCTGCCCTCAAGGAACAAATGGTTCACTGGAAAAGCCATGATAAATACCATGGAAAAGGTATTAACAACATGCATAAGAGCACAGAGAATGGCCGGGCATGGTGGCTCATGTCTGTAATTCTAGCACTTTGGGAGGCCGAGGCAAGAGGATTGAGGCCAGGAGTTTGAGACCAGTCTGGGCAACACAGTGAGACTCCATCTCTACAAAAAATTTTTTAAAAATTAGCTGAGTGTAATGGTGCAACCCTGTAGTCCTAGCTACTCGGGAGGCTGAGGTGGGAGGATCACTTAGGCCCAGAAGTTTGAGGCTGCAGTGAGCTATGATTGCACCACTGTACTACAGCCAGGGCAACCGAGTGAGATCCCATCTCTAATATCAGGAAATATCACAGAAGAGCAGGCACTTCAGTCAGAACTTAGGTTGAGTGCAGTGGGCTGAACAGTGATCCCCAAAATGATTGTCCATGCTCTAAGCCCCACAACCTGTGCTTATTTGAGGAAAGGGGCTTTGCAGATGTAATTAAGTTAAGGATCTTGAGAAGAAAACATCCTAGATTAGGGTGGGCATTAAATCCAATGAAAAATCCTTACAGAGCAAAGAAGGGATAAAGATACAGAGACACAGAGGGGAGAAAGCCACAGGCAGAGACTGGAGTGATGTGTCTACAAGTCAGGGAACACCAAAAGCCACCAGAAGCTGGAAGAGGCAAGAAAGGATTCCTCCCTAAACCTTAAGAGGGAGCATGACCTGCCAAAACCTTAATTACAAGCTTCTGGCCTCCAGAACTAAGAGAGAATAAATTTCTGTTATTTTAAGACACCGGGTTTGTGGTAGTTTGTTATGGCAGCCATGGAAACTAACACAGTGAATGAGTGAGAAGGATTTTTATAGGTAGCATCAAAGAAAGAACATTCTGGGCAGAAGGAACAGCATAAGTATATATATTTGGAAACTAACACATACTCTAGTGTGATCAAAACACAGACAAGTGTTGTGGAAACCAAGGCAGAAGACTAAGAGACAGCTTATAAAGAATTTACTTTCCTGTGCTAAGGTTGGGCCTGGCAAAATCAGGCTGGTGTTTCCAAAATAAGAGATGTGGAAGATGGACCGTAGAAGCAGAATGGGAAGCTAAAAAATCAATGAGGAGATTAAAGTATGGAAGCAGAAGGAAGATAGAAGAAAAGGGGCAGCTAGAAGTGGCATGCTAGAAAGACAATTAGTAAGATTTGATGATGGTTGATGTAGCCTCAGGACAGACTCCAAATCTTTGGTACCTCCCTGCATAGACAGCTGACATGATTTCTCAATTTCTGGTTCCCAACAGGGAGGAATAAATGCCAAAGTATGACTGGTGGGAGGTCTGGGGAGTTAATATATTTGTATGTGGGGAGAGGGGCTTAATAAACATTTATTTGTTCATTTGATTTTAAATGACATGTGGGCAGGTGTCAAGGGGACACATATACCAATGATGGCCACTTTGTTCTCCTTCATGGAACTCAGCACCTGCTCCAGCTTCTCCTCAGATGCCATATTCTGCACCTCACTCAGGTGGTGCTCCTGGAACTCCACTGGGACAGCAGCAGCCTTTCAGGGACAGGTCCCAAAAAAATTGCAGCGTCAAGGTCAAATATTTTCCAACCCACCCCGTCGTCCCTGCAGTGGATCCCTAAGGCCACTCACCTTGAACACCTCCTTGACAGCGTGCATCAGCTCAGGCCCCACACCATCTCCTGGCAACATGGTCACGGGAAAGGCGCCCTCCACCCTCACGTCCTCTGCCTGCGGGTAGGGCCGGCAGAGCTAGAGCTGGGGCAGGAGCAGGGGTCCTCCAGGGAAGGGAGAGGGAGGGGCAAAGGAGTGGGGAAAATGGGGAGGGAGCCGCGAGGAGGTGACAGGTGAGTGAGCGAAACTCGAGCCGCATCAGACATACCTGGCTCCGCAAGGCAGCTTGCGCCGCGGCCGACGTACCCAGACCTCTCCATGCC